GGCCCTCGGCAGTGAAAGCGCCAAGTCCTAACCACTGGACCACCAGGGAGTTCCCTGAACATTTATTAAATCTATTTTTATTTCTTTCATCAGTGTTGTGTATTTTCACTTTCTTTTTTTTTTTGAGTGATTGTGAATGGTACTGTACTTTTAATTTTAGTGTCCAGTTGTTCATTGCTAGTACAGATCTTCCTCAGCTTGTGATGCAGTTGCATCCCAATAAATCCATCATAACTTGAAAATACATTTAATACACCTAACCTACCGAATATCATACCTTAGCCTGGCCTACCTTAAATATGCTCAGAACACTTAGATTAGCCTACAGTTGGGCAAAATCATCTAACACAAACCGTATTTTATAATGAAGTGTTGAATATCTCATGTAACTTATTGAATGCTGTACTGAAAGTGAAAAACAGAATGGTTGTGAGTGTCTTGGTTGTTGACCCATATGATCAGTGTGGCTGGGAGCCACCCAGTATCACGGGGGAGGATCGTACTGCATGTTGGTAGCCTAGGAAAAGACCACAATTCAAAATGTGTATGGTTTCTACTGAATGAGTACTGCATTTATACCATCATAAAGTCAAAAAATCGTAAGTCAGCAACCATCTATATATAGAAATAAAGTTATTTTTGTATACTTGTCTAATACCCTGTGACCTTCCTGAGTCACTTATTACTTTTGGGAGTTTTTTGGTAGATTCCTTGGGATTTTTTACAGACAGTCATGTCTTCTGCAGGTAGGGACAGTTCATTTCTTCCTTTCCAGTCTGAATACTTATTGTTTCCTTTGTTGTTCTGTTGTCTATTTTCAGTGTCATTTATATCTGCTCTAATCCTTATTTTCTTCCTTCTGCTTGCTTTAGCTTTATTTCCTTCATTTTCTAGGTTCTTGTGGTAAGAGTTTAGATTATTGCCGTGAGACTTTTCTCTTCTTCTGTGTACGCATTTAGTGCTCTTAATTCCCTTTGCAGTACTGCTTTTGCTGTGTCCCACAGGTTTTGATTATGTTGTATTTTCATTTTCATTCGATTTGATATATTCTTTTAAAATTTCTCTTGAGGGTTCTTTGACTCTTGGATTATTTAGAAATATTGCTTAGTTCCCACAGATTTTCTTGTTGTCTTTAGTTAATTGATTTCTATTTTGATTCCATTGTGGTTAGAGGATATACTTTGTATTATTTCAATTTTAAAAAATTTGTTGAAGTTTGTTTTATGGCCCAGGATATGGTCTGTCTTGGCATATGTTCCATGGTCACTTGAATAGGCGTTCTGCTATTGTTGGATAAATTGTCTCATAAATGTCAATTAAGTCCTGTTAGTTGATGGTGGTGTTGAGTTCTTATATATCCCTGCTGATTATCTATATAGTTCTATCTGTTTTTGAGAGAGGATGTTGAAGTTTCCAACTCTTAATGGTGAGTTTGTTTCTGTTTTGCATTCTGTCAGGTTTTTGTTCACATATTTTTCAGCTCTGTTGTTTGTTGCATACACACTTAGGATTGCCCTTTCTTTTTCATGGATTGACCCTTTTATCATTATATGATGTCCCCACTATCTCTGGTAATTTTGTTTGCACTACTATCTACTTTATCTGGCCTTTATAAAGCCCACACTTATCTTTCTTTTATTCTTTTTATTTATTATGCAAAAAAATTAATGTTTGCATGGTATACCTCTTTCCATCCTTTAACTTTCAACCTGCTTCTATCATTATATATTTTTTTAATCTACTCTGCTAAACTCATAATAAATTTGCTTATTTGGACCATTTATATTTAATATAGTTACTGATATGTTAGGGCTTATTAAGTCTGCCATTTTATTTTTTGGTTTTGTGTACTTTTCATTTCTCTGTTTTCTTTTTCCTTCCTTCCTGTGGGTTACTTGAACATTCCTTATAATTCCATTTTAACTTGTTCACAGTGGTTTTTTTAGTATATCTCTTTTTGTAGCATTTTTTAGCGGTTATTCCTGGTTGCTCTAGATATTAGAGCATTACATTACATTATGTGTACCTAGCTTATCATGGTCTACTGGTGTTATCTTTTTTACCAGTTCAAATGAAGTATAGAAAACCTACCCCAGCCTCACTTCATGTCCCTTTACCCTCTCCCATTTATGATATAATTGTGTTAAATATTTCCTCTGTGTGCATCAGACAGTATTACAGTTTTTCTTCAGCCATAATCTATAAATCTAAGAGAAGATGGAAAACCTCTTATTTTTATCTGTAGTTTTGCTTACTGTGTCCTTTATTTCTTCTTAATACTCCAGAGTTTCTTCTTTTATCTTTTCCTTTCTGTTTAGAAATCTTCCTTTAGCAATTCTTTTCAGGGTAAGTCTTCTGGTGATAGACTCTTAGTTTTCCTTCATTTGAGAATCTCTTGATTTCCTCTTCAATCCTGAACAATATTTTCTCTGGATATAGGATTCTGGTGACAGTCCATTTTCTTAGGCAGTTGAAAAATATTGATAAAATGTAATCTTTCTCTGGAGGCTTTCAAAATTTTTCCTTTGTTGGTTTCAAATGTTGAAATACCATACGTTTTTGTGTGAATTTCTCTGAATTTATCCTATTTGGAATTTGCCCAACTTCTTGACTCTGTATATTTATGCCTTTTGCCAAACTTCAGTAGTTTTCAGTCATTACTTTCTACAATACTTTTTCAGTCTGCCTTGCCTTTCTTTCTCTTTGGGACCTCAGTGATGCAAATGTTAGTTCATTTGTAGTTCCACAGCTCAGTTGGGTACTTTCTATTATTTTTATCTTCCAGTTTATTGACTCTTCTCTGTTCCCTTTCTGCTGTTGCATTCAAACTTTTTATATGTTACTGTATTTTTTAGTTATAAAATGTTCATTTGGATTTTCTTTGTCTTATATTTCTTTTCTGATGCTTTATGTTTTCATTTGTTTCAAGTGTGTTCCTAATTGCTCCTTGAAGCATTTTTATCATGGCTGCTTTAGTCTTTGTCAGGTAATTTTAACACTGTCGTCAACTCAGTGTTAACACCTGTTGACTGTCTTTCTTCTCATTCATTTTGAGATCTTGACTCTTGGTATAACAAGTGATTTTTTTTTAATATAAATGTATTTATTTTATTTATTTATTTTTGGCTGCATTGGGTCTTCGTTGCTGTACGCGGGCTTTCTCTAGTTGTGGTGAGCAGGCGCTACTCTTCGTTGTGGTGCGCGGGCTTCTCCTCGCGGAGGCTTCCCTTGTTGCGGAGTACGGGCTCTAGGTGCGCGGGCTTCAGTAGTTGTGGCACGCGGGCTCAGTAGTTGTGGCTCACAGGCTCTAGAGCACAGGCTTAGTAGTTGTGTCTCATGGGCTCTAGAGCTCAGGCTCAGTAGTTGTGGCACACTGGCTTAGCTGCTCCGCGGCATGTGGGATCTTCCTGGACTAGGGATCGAACCCATGTTCCCTGCATTGGCAGGCAGATTCTTAACCACTGAGCTACCAGGGAAGCCCCATAACAAGTGATTTTTGATTGAGACGTGGGCATTTTCGTATTTGTTATGAGACTCTGGATCGATTTCAACCTGTTTTGGCTGGCTTTTTGTCACACTGCTCTGGCACGGAAGGGGGTGGTACATTGTTTCATTTCTGCCAGGTGAGACAGCGGTT